GACTCTGAATGGAGGCTTGTTTTGATGCAGACTGTAGCTTGTTCAGTATCTTCTTGGATGATCTGCTCCATACCTCATTCCATCCTTCTTCGGTATTTGTAGAAGCTTATTTTGATGAATCCTGTATTCAATTGAGGACCTTCTTGAGTTCATCCCAAGTTGTACTCCATCCATTTGTTCTGACATATGTATCAATTAGGGAGATTGGCTCATTTGAAATCATGTTTAAGGAACCCTTTTTAGGTTCTCTCAAATACTCCTTTGGGATTGTTATATTCTCTTCCTTGGTATTCTTCTCAAGCTAGTCTTTAAAGATGAAGCATTTGTCTATAGTGTGTCCAAGTAACCGGTGGTATGGGCAATAATTTGGTTCATTCCTCTTATTCACCTCTTCGGGTTTCTTTGGATCAGGTAGTTTGAATTCTGGTTTCTTCATCAAGCTTTTGAATATTTTAGGTACAGCTTCATCTTTGAAGGAGTAAACAACTTTCTGTCTCTCTAACAAGGATATTCTTTTACCCGCTGTTCGAGGTGATCCCTCCTGAGACGGCCGTTGGTTGGATTGACTGCTCTGTTTCTGAGGGTACTGTGACGAAGACTGACGATGATCTTCTGCATATATCTTTATCGGTTGCTTTCCTTTGTCGACAGTTGCGACTACCCCTGATTTCTTTTCAAACACTCTGGTCACCTTAGCCTTTTCATGCGGCTCCATGTGTTTCATTTCTCCTTGCAGACTGCTGGCTTTACTGAGTAGCTTCTCGAAGGATTTGTGGTGAGTCCCTTAAGCATGAGAGCTACTGGCCCAAGAATGCTTTTGAGTAGAATCTCAATCGCTTGATGTTCCTGTAGCTGAGGCTCACATTTCATGTTAAGGTTTCTCACCTCAAAATATAGTCTGTCAAGGTTTCACTATGTTTCTGCTTCTCCATCATGAGTTCTCCAATAGACACATGATGTTGTGCCCCAGCAAATCTTTTCACAAATAACTTTTCCAATTCAGAAAATTTTTTAACTGACTCGTTGGGCAAGTCAGCATACCAGTCGAAAGCAATCCCTGCCAAGCTGCTGACGAACTGCTGGCAGAGTAGAGCTTTGATATTCCTTGTGTTTCCACAATTGGCTCAAAAATGTACTATGTGTTGTCTGTGATTTCCTGTCCCATCGAATATCTTGAAGTTTGGGGTCACAAAACCCTTGGGGAAAGGCACGACATCAAACTCCTTCGGGTAAGGTCTACCCTTCAAAATTGACGCACCGCCCTTGGACTGGGCTAAGGCATCCCATACTTGTTCAACCATTTGCTTGAACTCCTTTTCTGGCATGGCACTTGATGGAGAATCCTTCCTCCATTGTTCTTTTTCTTCTGTCAAAGTAGCCTCCCTTCTTTCATCTGCGATGTGCATGATTTCTGGTTGATTAATCTCTGGAGAAGCCAACCTTGGTGCTTGTGATTGCCCCTGAATGGTGGTCATGGCGGTCATAGCTGTAGTCATCTCTTCTATTCTTTTCTCCAGTAGACTAACTTGCTCATCCCTTAAGAGGATAACCCTACACAGCTCATCTACGGCGTTCTCTTCAGTGTGAGGTTGAGCCTC